AAGAGAGTAGATTTTACATTTACTGACTCTTGAGACAAACCAAATATAAGCGGGGTTAATGCAAAGATAAATGCACACTTCAATTATAAAATATACAAACATAATCAACTTATTGATGACCACTGTCAAACATATTTTATTTTTAATCATTTAAAAAAAGTATTTACTTAGTAAAACACAAGTTATGTATGTTATAATATTAGAAAAACACAACTGTATTCACTATACGCATACGAGCAGCGTAACGCCGAACCAGCGGGAAGAGATCACACAGTTGCTTACACATGGCGACATGTCGCCACGCCAGCCATCGGTTTTACGTGCGGCTATAGATGTTTCACATCAATAAGATCGAAACAACTCAATTATCGCAAACACATGAATTTCCAAGTTGGTAAAACGATGAACACTAAATAATAAAATGTGTTTTCTGGCGTTTTATCGTATTCGAGCGTGTATTAAAAAACGATTCGTAGCGACGTCATCATTAATAAGATTCGCCAGAATGGAATGATTCAATTTGTGTCAGATGTCAAATTCAATAATAAAAACAAACTTTTCTATTTTCTCTAACCTCAATTAGAATCAGGTTTGTGCATACAATTTTTTGCATAAATATTACAAATGTAGCTGCATTTTTTAAATCAGTCTACCAGAATTCTTTCTTCTATTCAAAATATGAATCAACCAGTAAGTAGGTAATCTGACAACTTTCGTAACGTAACGTCAAATTCTGTTTCAAAACCAATAGATACGTTTCAAATCATAGTTGATGTGGCGTCATCGTTTTAACGCCAAAATGAATGTATTTGAATCACACACGAATACGTTTTGAATACATGAGCACCAGAAAGATGACTACAATAAAATATAACTGAAAATAGGCGCTACATTCGAATTATATTCAAATATAGTTGTTTCTGGCCGAAGTACCGGCCAGTAGGCGAAGTCAACCTATCGTGACGTCACAATGGCCTGCACTTCAATCTTCGTTGGAGACAGGTTAGTTCTATAGATATTATAGTATCTTTGAATAGTTTAGTTAGGTTGTGAAGTGTTTTGATTAAATTATATGATTTATTATTATGAACCAAAATAGACATAAATCTACTGACAAGTCCACTTGAGGTTATGTCACGGGCAAATTTTAGACAATAAATTTAATGCGTTCATATATCTTACTTTGTGAAATCAACGAAGTCTCCGAACTAATTCATTTCAATTCGGTCACATAAAATAGATTCAGTAATAATATAACTATTTCTAATAAATCAAGATCCATATTGGGGAAAGCATTTGAACGATATTCTTAGCATTTTCGAGAAGACTAAATATAAAACAAGAGGGGCTTGTACTAGATAAATTGTAGTAGATCAATTATAAATTTTTACATCAAGTATTAACTGGACTATTATACTCCAATAGTTTAAAGACTATTCAGAATGATTCATGAATTTCTAAAAATTAAAATACTCACTCTGAATGTTAAGTTTTGAAAGAAAACTGAAAGCCCGGATTCAGTAGAGATACTTTTTCAAAACTTACCTTCAGGAACCTCGAATATATCTGTTGAAATTTCATCGACACTGAAAGAATCGTATTCTAAGTAATAGCGATCATAATGACTTCCTAATAATGTGTTGTATCCTCTCATTTCGTATCTGAAAAACAAAAAACCTAAAATGTAGTCAGTTTTTGTGACCTTTTTGGGTACATTTTCATCTTTCACGAACCCCTCTCAAACACGCTTATGGTAAAAGGAAATCTGCTCCAAAAATTTTTCGGGAACTTTTTTTTAGGGAACAGGGAGAAAGAGAGCCAACTGATGTTTTTGTCTCATTTACCTGACGCTCCTGTTTTACATGCACAAGATTGATATAATAAATAGCCTGCTCACCTCAAAAATAAAAGAGCGATTGCCAAGAACAGATATATCTTCATCTGATATTTTAATTGAGAAGGTCAGAGTTATAGAACATTCATTTGCTGAGCAAGAAGCCAGTGAAAACACAGATGATGGTAATTATGACTCTAGTAAGTAAAGACCAAAGGGTAACTTTTGTAAAAATTTTGGTCATACTCAACCTCAATGCAGAAAATTTGCAGCTAGTGAAAAACTTTGCACACAACCAACAACCTCACATCGTGGAAAAGAAAACCCACCTTCGATTGTGAATAGTTGCCAGAATTCTACTACTGTTTGTTATGGATGTAATACTCTACGGTATGTAAGGACTAAGTGTCTAAACTGTAAGCTTAGAAATCAATCAACCTCTTTGGAAATTGTTTCCTCTGTTGAACTTCTCATAATTACTACTGATGACCTCCAATAAAAGGCCTTCAATACCACTAACTGTCCTAGACCTAAAGGGATATGCTTAGGGCGATACCGGTGCTGAGTGTAGCGTCACAGGTAATCGACTTTATGATCAATGTAGATTGCCAATACAAAGAAATGAAGTAAGTCATGACCGATGGAGAAGCAAGGTTAGTTTCAGCTTGAATATTTAGTTGCCTTATCAAATTTTTTAGGAAGAGTTATTCATACAACATTCGTTGCTTCTTCTGAACACACGTATCCGGACTCTACTTGACATATACTTTTTGATGAACACTAAGTTAATCCTTAATATTCCATAGATGAAATCCATGTTCTGTGATTAAAATGAAATTCAATGTATTTTTTTTCCTAAAACAATTCTGGGAATACCACTAAAGTCAGCCTTCTTGGTTTGACCTTGACGGAAGACGAGGGCGTACAGCTTAGCCAACCTGATCAACTCCAATCGCTCATGGAAAAAATTGAATTGTATTTGGGGATAATAATCAGCTTCATGCAGAGCACCGCATAAATTTAATGAATGACACACCGATTGCAGTAATACCTTATTGCGTAACACCTCAAAAGGCAGACATACGAAAATCCGCAGTTGATTCCCTATTGGAAAAAGGCATAATTGACGCACTACCTATACTAGTTACCAAAAAGGATGGAAATTATAGCATGTGTGTGGATTACCGCCGTTTGAATGCCATAACTATTCCGGACATAAATCCTCTTCCTAGGATGAACGACGGACAACCTTATGCATGCTGCTACGAGAACAATCTATATATCGACTCTCGATCTTAAAAGTGGGTACCATCAGGTGTTTGTTCGTGAAACGTTTCGGGACAAAACTACATTCATAACGCCCTTTGGCATTTAAAGTTTTAATGGCATGGCATTCGGGCTCAGGAACGCACCTGATACATTTCAGAGATTAATAGATAGGTTTCGTAGCGGTCTACAGGATATTACCGTACTTGCCTATCTAGATGATATGACAGTTTCGTCAAAAAAGTTTGAGGATCACTTGAATCACCTAAGTGCAGTTTTTCATAGACTAAGAACAGTCAAACTATGTGCCGATCATGCAAAATGCACCTTCGTGTGTCCTTCTGTTAAATACTTGGGGCATCTCATGGCAGATACGCCCAAGTAAGTGCGACTTTTGCGTTGGGTGTACTGAGCTTATCATTCGAGATAAAAGAACATTACATTTTGGTTTCAACTCACCTCACCGGTATAGCAATATTTCCATTATCACCATTGAAATTTGGTTTGTAAGAAATCCACATTGTATATTTGTTTTTCTTTTGACCTATCAGTTCTGTCAAGTTCCACTTTTCGGAATCAATTCCACGGATTGTCTCTTTTCCTGAAAATAATTTTATATTTTGGCCTTTACTTTTCGGACATAATTGTTTTGTTATTTAATTCATACTGAACTAATAAACGATTTGATTTTGAGTTTAGGATGAATTACATGAGCAGCCGCAAAATACTAAGACTAAACCAAGAATGAAACTGACGATCGTCGCCAATCAGTACTGAATACCCTTTATATGGAGCGATTTCTTTTATATTTATCATTATAAAAATACATGTTCACTTGCTTCTTCAAACAAAAATGTATGTTCTGCAAAATTTTTACTGAAAGTTTGACAGATTTTACGTTACATCAAAACGTTTTCTGGAAGGTTGTTTGACCACAAGTTCGTTGCATCTTTTCTTCTATTTTTAGTAATACAGTTTTGATACTGAATGTAGACCACCAAGCTTCGACCCCCTGAGACTGGTCAAAAATTCCATCTCAGAGATGAACAGGAGGAAAACTGCACATCTAGTGTTCCTCGACGTCTTAAAGGCCTTCGACCACGTCTGGAATGAAATACTACATAAAATTCCCAATTTTAACCTGCCTCTGGGCCTAGTCCGGCGGATTAGGCCCTTTCTCTCTAGGGAAATCCAAGTTGGACTGCCCCAGGGAGCTGCCCTGTCTTCACTATTATACAGCCTTTTCCCTATACGCTGATAATACGTCTCTTCTCGCCTTTTCTATTGGTCGTGAGTTGAAGGTCGACTATATTCAACGTGCATTGGACGACATCCGCAGAGATGGCTTCATTTCGCAAGAACCATGCAATCCATTCAGTTGAGGAATCAGAGAGTTTTTGAATCAGCGAAAACAAATAATAGCCCATCAGTTAGGAAAGCTATAGATTATGCTAGATGATCTCTTTCGATTCAGAAGTCCCCGTCACTAAGCTCGTCGATTTCTTCACAATAGGACTTGGCTGTGATGGTTCGGTCCAGTTGCAGAAAGTTGTATTATAGTGTACTTATAGTAACCATGTTTTTTTTGGTGGGTTTTCACCTTTGGGAAGTGCCTGGGTGGCTCATCGGTGTCTACTCACTGTCCTAAATGTCTCCACTTTTCATATCACGTGACAATCCGATACAAAAAAAGGATCGTTTTGGTTGCGCGGAAGCAAAGACGAACGTAATTCGAAACGTGACAATTTATTGAGATATGGAGCTGCAGAAACACGTCACAAAATTTTTTGAACAACCTAATATTTTCGGGCAGTCGAAGCTGTAAAGAAAAATAGAGCGATTTCTCTTTCGACGGTCGTTTCTAAATATTGGCTTTTCAACAGACCGCCGTGGGGATGTTTATCTTGATTAAATGCGGTTCAAGTTTCCATAATATATGGCGTATTCGTAAGGAAAGTTGTCTATGGTTACTCACTCAGGCTTGTCTTTTGAGAACTGTAAAATTCAACAAAACATTGGTCTGTTATCATTGATGAGATTTATGATGGACATTCATCAAAATTAGAGTAAAATCTGATATAAGTATATTTTTGCATTACATATTTTCGAAACTAAGAACTCTGTAATTAGTTTCTGGAATATGCAACTTGTCTCTGGATCTTCAGATGTGTTTGAATTAGGAGAGTTAAATTCATTTACTGTGTCAGTGCCAGCAGAATTTTACTCAATCAGTAGCTCGTATTTTTCAGATTTGACACTGCGAAAGACACAGTGGGGCAGCCCCCCCCCGTACAGCGACATGAAAGTTTTTCTTAAACTCAGAGGTTTGTGTAGTATGCAATGGTATATATCAAGTGGTGTAAATGTAGTAGTATTAGAGCTTTAATAAAAAATGGTAACTTATTCGTTAATCATCCAATTACATTATTATATAGACATTGCGGATTCGTTCGAAAACTGCTTTACAGTCTTATTCAGAAGTATTCAAAAATTGTCAGTTTTTCCACAATTTAACGTACTCTCTATCTTTTACCGTTCACGAGATCATCATACATATATTCAAATTTGAAAAGCCCTGTACAAATATATAGAGGCATTAAAAAAATATATAACACTCGAAATATGCATCCTTCTTGTTGTAAGACAGAGAATTCCGAAATTCAAGAAATATATCACCATAATATGTAAACTTAATTTTTAACAAAAGAGCAATATTTACCTGCGAATTCGAAACCATTCAGAGACGGAAGTATTGGCTGGGGCTCAACTGGGTTATCCACTGTTCCATTATTTTGTAGACAAGTAATAACATTGGTCACTTCCTCAGTGGTGAAGGGAACAATTTTCAAACTTTTTCCGTAATCTACGGATCCGAGTTGATAGGTTTTCACCGTTGCCCCATAGTAATCAATCCGAGACTTTTTGGAAGGTCCGTCGTACCTATATAAATACAACTATTGATTTCTATTGCCATACTATGTTTTTACTTATTAAATATACAGGCCCTTTTTTAGCTGTCTGTCGATTTTTGGGCAATTTTTCTTTACGAATTCAAATTGAACCAAAGCGCTGCCGAAACAGCCCGACAAATTAATCAGACATTTGGATATGATAGTGTTAAACGGCCTAAACACGTTACGATTTTTCGTACTGCTTGCAGTACGATATGCATCGGTACTGGCGTAGTAATGATAAATCATAACGTGTGTAGACAAACTGTCTGTCGATTTTTGGGCAATTTTTCTTTACGAATTCAAATTGAACCAAAGCGCTGCCGAAACAGCCCGACAAATTAATCAGACATTTGGATATGATAGTGTTAAACGGCCTACACACGTTACAATTTTTCGTACTGCTTGCAGTACGATATGCATCAGTACTTGCGCAGTAACGATAAAGCATAACGTGTGTAGGCAAACTGGGTGATTTGTAGTATGCAGTCGTCGAATCGTTCGCACTACGGAGCTTCCATAAAATATCGTATCAACGGTAGTGTCTGGGGTGGGGTTGTAGAAAATTGGAATGTGTGGAGCTTATTGCAGCGGCAGTTACGATTTCATATCGTTTAAAGCAAATCATTTAGGGAAAAGAATATTATATATTTCATTATCATTATAAGGGTATAAAAATTAGACGTTCTGGGAAGAGTTTATTGCTGTATGTAAAGAAAACAGCTGCCTGTGGGATGTAAAATCAAAAGATCACTCGAATAAAATAAAAAGAAATTCAAGTTACGATATTTTATTTGCAAAATTCAAAGAGTNAATTTTTTTTGTTTAAGTACGGTCGGTTTAGTTACCAACTCGAAACATTCTACAGGGCCGTGGATCAAAAATGTTATCACCAATTAATTAAAAGATTTCTAATCAAAATGGGCACCAAGTGATTTGGCCGGCTTTTATTACAAAAATTACTAAAACATACAAGAGATAACTACAAGATTCAATCCTAAACTAATACCCAGGGTATGACCTAATATATGGATATGATAAATCACGATAAAGAAAAACTTAAAGGTCACTGATTCCTAATGTTCTACTTAACGATATAATGAGCCGATTCTTGCAAGAACTTCGGTTGGAAGAATTGAACGTGAACAGGCAATACATCAATCATTCAATTCTTCTTAACTATGAATAAGACTCCTAGTATAACGTAAAATATAGGCATCGGCTTGTCCTTAATTAATTCACTTCACCCAAAAAATTATTTTTCAATTCTTATGTTTATTGCTTCCGTAAAGAGAAGAAAATCCTCTACGAGGTACTTATTCTCGTCGATTCCACTATCCAAGTCCGTTTCATACAATCACCAGGTAAAAAGGTGTAGCAATACCAAACTCTAAGTACTCGCTCGCAATACTTCAGGACGTAAAACAGGCTGAAACTTCCCTCTGGAAACACAACGAGTGTAGGAAACTCGTAAATATGGAACGTGGTCCGTGAGAAATGAAATGTTTATGTTTCTAAAAGAAAATGTCGAACGCTTACCTCCTTGTGTCAAGATTCCTAGCACAACAGGAGACGTATCAAAATCAATATATTATCTTAATCCAAACTCGATTGAATCAAGGGTTGAATTCGCTTTCAAATAACGCAAAAGTGCACCAAACATTCAACCCCTAACAGCCTTTGAAATGTAAATCCGCACTTTTGCGAAAATCAATCAATGATAGCCAAAAAAAACATTTTCTAGGCAGATATCTTCAAGAGTTTCTACAGAAATCGCTATCTAATTTACGTCGTTTCGAATCAGTACCGAGTCCAAGAGTTTTTGTCGCATAGAAAAGGAATGTATGAAGAGGTGACTACTTTTATAGGGAGTTTGTGATAGATAGATAGATAATTTTTATTCATCCATGAAGCTTTACACAGTGCAGTACAGTATTAAACTTATCAGACTAGTCAATGACATATTATAACATGAACAAACACATAACATAAATGAATGGTTAATAGATTTACATATCAGAATTATCGATAGGAAAATTTAAAAACTCATCCACAGAATAAAATACTTCGAGGGCCCGTTACTTGGTAACGAAGGATTTTAGGAAAAAAAGTTATATGAAGTACTGGTGATATTTTGACCCCATCTATACATTCCCGAGAGGAAAAGAGGAAGTCCAGGGACACCCTGTATGACTTGAATTATGGCTCTCGCCCAAAACTCTATATTGACCAAAGAGGGAGAACTTTTTCCCAAATAATTAAAGAGCATAGAAGTAGCTTATTGGAGGGAAAGACAAACTCCGCATTTGCAAACCATCTTTCAGCAAAAGGTCATGAGTTCAATCATGAATATCACTGACGTGTTACATTTAGAAGAGAAGTTTGAAACTCGGTCTTTTAGATTATACATATATTAGACATATATTATATAATAGCTACTTCAGGAGTATTCGTGTTTTACCTCTATTCTGTCTATTAACCGACTGAATGAATCTGGTGTTTTGTCGAAAAACCTCCTTTCTCTGGATATGCTCCTTTTCGTCGGTGTACTGTTTGCCGTGTTTATTCACGAATTCGTGAAAGCCGGAATCAACATGATCGTTCAATTCTGGTCTGATGAATTCTGCCATGGGGTTGAATGTGGTCCGATGCTGTTTGCCAGGCCCAGGAAAAGAGGTACAAGTCAAGCCTGAAAAAAATGTGGAAATATCTGTAGAAATGTTATTTTTGTGTGCAGTATGTTTGAAAATTATATAAAGGGGGGCATTTGATTGAGACGTCGCGCCCCCAAAAAATATTAAAATAATGTAATTTTTTAAACAAATAATAATTTTGAAAAATTTCTTGCAGGGGTTTATTGTGCTCAGAACTGGTCCAGATATACTGCATCCAATATAATAACTGTAACTATGGGTACATTATTCATTCTCATATTCAATTTTTTCACTTGTGATGCACTGTTTGGAACCTTTGGTGTAGTAATAAATATTACTGGAGTTTTTTCCCAACACCAAACCGTTATTTTAACACCTCGACACGTGTTTCCATCACCAAGCGATCATCTTCAAGAGGAAGAAAATTTTTTTAATGAAAAATTGGAAATATTTGTTATTGCAACCTGTTTAACGAACTGTAATACAACACTTTCTCTCATTTCGAATTAATTAAAAAAAATATCGTAACAAGGTATCATTTCTGATACATTAAAAAACATTGTCGATAGATCACTTACCACGCATGGAATGGCTCTTCTATTTCAGCATAAGGAAGATAAAGAACCCCCTTTACAGAATATATTTGACTAAAAGCGGGCGGTGTTCTGATATCGCTCAGCGCTGAAACAAAGAAGAAAACATTATTTTTTATAACAGCCCACATTGTGAAATCATTACGTATCGCAACCGCAGAAACAAAAAAGACTGGGGCCAGTAACTTAATAAAGCTCCCCATTTTCATGTAACTGATTTCAAACCGCATGAATGTGGACAATTCATGGAATGAAACTTTTTGTTTCAACATAACCTTTTATAAACATGGATACTGATAATGTAACCAGATCATCAATATTGATTGTTGATTTATCCTGAGCGAAACAATGGTATCAAAACGTCAAAAAAATTATTGGAATCGAATAAAGATTCCGGTTAAAGATACGATTTGTTTCGAAATGGTGTCTCTTCCCTCTTTCTGTCCCTATGTATGCTTAGATCTTTAAAACTACGCATCGGATTTTGATGCGGGGTTTTTTAATAGATAGGGTGATTCAAGAGGAAGGTTTATATGTATATAACATGCATAATGTAGTAGAGAATCACTGATCATTTTAGAGGTTTCGAATGCGATGTTATAAACACTTCTTTTTTTCGCTTACATTGCAAACAGTGGCTGAACCCTACGAGTTAGATCAGAATAATTTACTACTTTCCGCGATGGTATATGTTTATCTCTCAGGGATAATCCACAATAACCGTTTCTTATCCTTTACTTTTGTTTTCGAAGCGATTTTAAGCAATACAGCATTATTCCTTATCCAATTGAGTAACTTGAAGACACCTATTCCATATNAATTCGAGATCACTTCTAGATCCTCATTAAGATATGTAACCTCCTGCTGCCGGTGAAGATGTGCCTCCGTAGCCGATGTCCTGGAATCCAAATGGAATGACGAGACAAGTGTGCTGTCGTCAGCAAAGCAATAAATTGGATTTTTGTTTTTTTCTAATAAGTCGTTCATATACAATAAAAAGAGGGTTGGAGACAATATGGATCCCTGGGGAACACCAGCGTTGATGGTGAAAGAATTCGAAAGATATCCATCGACGGCCACTTGCAGGGAACGATCTTTCAGGAAGCTGAAGAGCCATACACAAAAATGATTCGACAAGCCATAGCATCAAAGTTTTGCCAGCAAACCCTAGTACCACACAGGGTCAAAGGCCTTAGAATTATCAAGCGCAACAGCTCTTGATTCTTCATGTTTTTCGATTGCGTTATTCCGAATATGGGTGACATACGATAGAAGGTCACCTGTTGATCTTTGTTTCCGAAAGCCATATTGTTGATCGCTCAAGATGTTAGAGCCTTCCAAATATTTGGGGATATGTTGGTTTACGACTTTCTCTATGATTTTTATTATCACTGATAGCAAAGCGATTGGTCCATAGTTATTTGGAAAAGTTTTCTTGTCCTTTTTGGGAATATGCTGAACGCGAGCAATCTTTCAACAAGAAGGAAAAACCAAAAGACAGCTTGAAAATTCTGCAAAATACTGGTGCGAGTTCATTTGCGCACTTTTTAAATACGATGACGGGCACTTCTTCAGAGCCAGAGCCTTGTTGATATTGAGCTGTTTCAAAATTCGCCTGTCTAGTCACTGGCTTTGTCTTGCTTTGTTCACTTTCAAGTGAGTGGAAGAAGTGGTTGTGTTGATGGGCACTTGTATTACCAAAATACATAGCAAATTGTTTAGCGTTAAAACATACAAAACTAGGCAGTTCACAAAACCGCAAACAAACGCAACACGTGTCATACTACGTCATACTTTCAGTATGAAAACCTTGAGAAAGCTATTGTACAGCAAAACACGTGTTGCGTTTGTTTACGGTTTTGTAAACTTTCCAGTGTAAATCTCGCAAAAAGTCTTACTTGAATAAGTCTTTGAGTTTTTGAAAATACACCTACAACAGGTTTTTTCTTTACGTTTCTTGTAATTCATTTGTTATACGTAGACGATTGACCTCAACAATGACGGATTCGAAAGTGGGTCATGACTCCCAGGGAACTCAGTAGTCTCTCTAACTGCGACTCCATAAATAACTCCCCCTGAAAATCACCAAAGGCCCACCACTGACCTACCTACTGTTGCCATCTATTGTCGTTTTGTTCACTGGAAGTCATAGTTTAAGGCAGAGATCCTCTAAATAAATATATAAATAAAAATCTATCAACGGAAGCTTTATTAAGCGCTTATCTATTTTCATTCTAGATAATTCTCGAAGAAATGGTAATCGCGTAAATGGTAATGTAGTGCCAGGAAACAGACAAAACGAATATTTGAGGATTAAAATCAAGTAATACGATTGCAATACTTGAAACAAGACGAATCATCTTGGTATATCCTTCAAATCAAATCAAATATACTTATCCCTTATCCCATAAATTAGAGTACAAAACGTCATGAGTGGTCCATAAATACTATATAACTACTATATCGTAGAAGGCAATAATTAGTTTCTATACTATTCAGCTTCAAACATTCATTTTGATTATTAACACAATACTTCTTCAAAACCGTCGAATATGACTATCTCCATCTTCTGGTTACTTCCCTCTCAGAATATAGTACTTGTACGATATTTCATCAGACATTTATCGTTGAAAAATTTACTAGGAATACAAGGTATTGAAAAGAATAAGAGGATTGAGTTTTTCCTCCAGTCTCAAAACTCAATCAATAAAGTACGTAGGTACTACTAGTTTCACTGGTTATCAATTTGACAATAATGGAAGAAAATATGAGTTAATGTTTCAAAGATAAAACTGAAACAATAACTTTGTAAGATAACGGAATGATGAAGCTGTTGTCTCTAAATTGGTTCACTTGAACATTACACAAATTTAGGTTTTGTGATTCATCTTCTCCGCCACACAATTTTGATTATTATGATTAGATATGAATTGTGCTTGTGGTACACAATAGTTTTGACATCTTCCGATGATAAACTTGAATTTCTCAGTTATGTTTCTTTGTTCATAGGAATTTACCTAGGGTAGAAAACAAGACAAGATCTTCACATTGCAGTCATATCGTCATATCTGCGTAAGCGGACGACGCTGCGCTGAATGCAGCGAATGAGGCTTGAGAGCTTTCGAAATCGATTTTCTGAAAATAACACTTCTTTCGAAAAACTCAAGTTACAATTATATTTTACTAACAATGTCAAAGCCAAAGATACGATTACAACTGTACTAAAACTAAGAAAAGCTCATATTTATAATATCGAGCTAGCTTGGGTAGAATGGGTAATGTTCCTTCTCAAAATCAAGTAGTTTTCATGAAAGAGCTCTAAAACAACGCATTTTGAACTTATCATTTCAACCTTTTTCTTTAAAAAATTATTTACATCTTGAAAAAGAGGAATGAAATAATGCATTCAACATTTAAAGGGATTCGTTTCTACAATGAATATGTTACTTGTATAATCTGTGCCTGTATGAGACATACAAAGATGACATATTTCAGAGGCGTGCTGTTCTGTTTACTTATGTTACGAGTTCCGAGATTTTCTGTGACATATGACATTTTGTGCACCTAACCTATCTTCCTCTATATAAATAAATAACAAAACAACTGTTCTTTATGTGGCTTGTGGAGGTGGTATTGAACTATAATTTATATTTTGCCTTCATTGTTGATTTATAAAGATAATTTTCCTTTTTTAAAGTAGAATACCTAGGTTCATATAAATTATTTCAACTTGATATAGGTTTGTCCTCAAAGGACAAGCCTAACTAAGCAAAAAAAGGCGCCATCTATGGAATTAACAGAGAATGTTAAAGGTAAACGAGGTTCCCGAAACCGGTCAGTTCTTTGGGCTTGTCCTCTAAGAACATTTAAGGCTATCAATGCCTTGGCGGTTCAGCCTAGCACCACTGACGAGGTCTATGTCGGGTCAAAACACCGCTGTCTGGTGTTGAATCATAAATGTGTTGGGTTTGGGCTCTGGTTTCCAGCCTTATGCCTTGCAGTGGAAGTAAAGGACGAATTTCGTCGGCGGTCGATGTCGAAGCTTTTTTGTGCAGAGATTTATAGATTATATAGCGTAATCATTTAGTTAAAAAACGTCATTTTGTGCACCTAACCTATCTTCCTCTATATAAATAAATAACAAAACAACTGTTCTTTATGTGGCTTGTGGAGGTGGTATTGAACTATAATTTATATTTTGCCTTCATTGTTGATTTATAAAGATAATTTTCCTTTTTTAAAGTAGAATACCTAGGTTCATATAAATTATTTCAACTTGATATAGGTTTGTCCTCAAAGGACAAGCCTAACTAAGCAAAAAAAGGCGCCATCTATGGAATTAACAGAGAATGTTAAAGGTAAACGAGGTTCCCGAAACCGGTCAGTTCTTTGGGCTTGTCCTCTAAGAACATTTAAGGCTATCAATGCCTTGGCGGTTCAGCCTAGCACCACTGACGAGGTCTATGTCGGGTCAAAACACCGCTGTCTGGTGTTGAATCATAAATGTGTTGGGTTTGGGCTCTGGTTTCCAGCCTTATGCCTTACAGTGGAAGTAAAGGACGAATTTCGTCGGCGGTCGATGTCGAAGCTTTTTTGTGCAGAGATTTATAGATTATATAGCGTAATCATTTAGTTAAAAAACGGTATAGTTCGACCCAGAGGATGAACTCAGCAATGCAGCAATTGCCGTCCATCACATTTAGCAGTGAAGCAGCTTTGACGGCTAGAAACTGTTGGATGCAAGTCATGCCTCTGATCTTTGAATAAAAAAGGCAGGTGACAGGTGTCAGGTGTCGGGTCATTTGTCACTTTTGTCAGTTGTCGGTCAGTGAATTTTCAATTTTGCTTGTAATCATCAGCGAATTAGAAGTTTTGAATAATTTTTTATAATACAGTACAAAAATGAGTTTAGCAGAGATCTGTGGAATGCAAGATTTAGATTCATTTAGGACGAACTTCTGTCCCAACGAGTTGGATAGAATGTGCACCAATTTCGAAAATAATCTGAATCTGGAAATGCCTCCTTTTGCAAATGTGAGTTGTTTATAATCGTTGTACGAAATCTTGATTTTTTATGTTACAGCCAGCAGCAAAGGTATCACAATTAACGAGAGATGAAAGCGGTCGAGAAATAAAAATGGCTTTTGATCATGGTACCACAACTCTGGGTTTCATGTATAAAGGTGGTGTTGTTCTTGCTGTAGACTCCAGAGCTACAGGCGGACAATTTATTGGGTCGCAAACCATGAAAAAAATTGTGGAAATCAATGATTTCTTATTGGGTCAGTCTTGCCAAGAAAAAAGTCGCTTTGTGTTTCATTCATAATTATTACTTTAGGAACATTGGCTGGAGGTGCGGCAGACTGTGTTTATTGGGACCGTGTACTGGCCAAACAATGTAGAATGTATGAATTAAGGAACAGGGAGCGTATTTCTGTAGCAGCTGCTTCCAAATTGATGGCAAACATGGTATACAATTACAAGGGAATGGGACTGTCAATGGGAATGATGTTAGCAGGATGGGATAAAAGAGTAAGTTGTTTTTTTACTTTTCAATAGGTTTTTGTACTGCTGGGAAATAATAATTGAATCTTCCAGATAAATAATGTTATGAAATCTCCCTTTACCAAAATGTTGCTCCCAAAGATGTACAGAAGTTGACGAAACATCAGATATAAAAACTAGCAGACCACTGTGAACAAAACCAGAAAATGTATTTGAACAAGAACTATTTCATTTTATATTGTAACCTTCTTTCAGGGTCCACACCTGTACTATGTAGACTCCGAGGGTACCAGAACACCTGGAAAAGTCTTTAGTGTGGGTTCAGGTTCAATTTATGCATTTGGTGTCTTGGATTCCGGATACAAATGGGATTTGACGGATGAGGAGGCTTACGATTTGGGTCGCAGGGCGATTTACCATGCCACACACAGAGATGCCTACTCTGGAGGTATCGTGAGGGTTTATCACATGAAGGAGACTGGTTGGATACATATTGATAACAATGATTGTAATGATTTACATTATAAGTACCAGGCTGAGAAGGAAGATTTGGAAAATACAATTGCTTAACTGACAGTTTCATTTCAATCAAGTTGAAGGTTCATTCGTATTTCTTAATAAAAATAAGTTTTTAACTTTTGTTTCATTAAAGAAAAGAACCTGTATTATGCTCTATTATGGGATGATAACAAGAGCTTCACTGTACAATTTCTGAGGATCACAATAATAGCTCTCTCTCTCTGTCTGAGAGAATATTTTATTACAGTTTGGATGATTGAGGTTTATACTCTTTTATAACATGTTATACGTTGAGAGAACATGTAATTTTTTCACCTCTTGTTTATTGTATGATGTTGAAGAATAATGTTGAGAATCTTGAACGAGTTACAATTCAGTAATGAAAAATATGGCTTTTTGAGTGGAGAACACACCTGAGACTAATTTCCATTTATAATAATATTTCAAACATGATTTGAAATCTAGGGAAAACATTTACCAGACATAACAAAAATAGTGTCTTTTGCTAACCAAATTAGCATAATCAGCAACAAGTTTTTTATGTGTTTCTGGAACCTTAGCTTATTGGTATATATCCAAAAACATTGTGAATCATTTATTATTAACATTATGGTTGTCTAGATGAAGATCATTATAGATAAATATTAATGACGATATTATATCGGTTTTGACTTAATTGAAAAAAGCAAATTGTAATCATACCAAAGATTAAAAATATTTTCATGCCACATTGACAGTGTCATCCAAAAACGCGGAAAAAATCCTCGAATGTCAATTTTGTGGAAAACATTTAACTAAATGAGGAAAAGGATTGACCCAAGGACTGAACTTTGGGAAACACTGTAGCATCAGTTATTCAAATGATCAGAATATTTGTTTTGGAATTCAACAACCTGAGTTTTCGGATTCCAGCCGTTTGTTCGCAATTCTCCTGAATCCATAACAGTTCAGCTTCCTGTGATCCACACAATCGAACCCTTTAGAGAAATCAGAGGACACAACCTCGACAGCTTTACCATGCTTGAATTGAAAGCCAAACGGAATTCAACAATATATTATGTTGCTTAAAAAACAGTAGTATACTCTTTAATGTATTTCTCAATTTTAGAGATAGTCTACAGTAGTGGTTCATTTAATTGACCACCTTTATGTAATGGGATCATGACTGCAGACACACCCGTCATGAAGAATTGCATCTACTAACACATGTAACAAGATATTTCATTCATTCAAAAATGGTTTTTATTTTTTAATCTGTTAAGATTGATGAGAGATTTATGTTCGTATCACATACAATTGTTTTGTTGAGATAGCTCAAGGGTTATACTGAGGGGTACAATACCTGTGGTTCTTTTTGGCTACCGTGCAGTAGAATTCATTTATGAAAAATACCAAATGAAACTCTTGTTTTTTTACCACTTTCATTCGTAACTAATGTTGTTTCCTCCTATAAGGACATTTTCAAACAATTATAATAAAACTTTTATAGGAAGGTCAGAATGACTCAAAATCGTATTAGGCCTTAAATTGTAAGGTAGGTTAGGAATTCTGTAAGTTTTTTTCTTTTCCAAAGACTTTATTGAAAGAATACAATAAATCAATCATACAGCTGCACAAATAAATCTCAGTAAACAATTTCCCAAACTGATGGTTTATTACAAACACTGCCTCCTTTGCAAAAAGCATTAAAAGTGGTTTCAGAACGAAATCCCAAAATTTCTCTTTCTTCTTGTATACGAAAGGAAAAAGTGCTTTCGTGGGTACCAATGAAGTATCTGGCATATGAGCAAATTATCTGATCGATGATTGCGACTCCGCCATCCCCATATTTCTTGACGACATCGTATGGGGGCGAATATTTGACAACTTTGTACTCGGAAAGAGAATTAGATAAGTCTTGGAATTCTGAAATGAAAAAAGCTGTTACAGGAATAGGTAATAATAAAGAGGACCTAAATATTGACAAATTAGCTCAGAAAAGTTTTCCAGTACACAACAGAAGTTTTGATTGAAAGTTTACCTTCCATTGATCCATCAGTTGCTACAAACACTGTATTCAAATCTAGTTTTTTCAGGATATCAATTATTTGTTGGGTAATGTCATTTAACAAAGGAGTTTCACTAGGTCTGTTCCTAACAAAATCTCTCCTTCTGAGGTGTGCTGCTAAGTAGGGTCCGCCTATAGCATCTCTCTTTGGCTAAAATAGGTAAAGCCATTAAAATTGAACTGAAAAGGTTGAAATAATGTAACGTTATCTCAAGGATTTTCATTTTTTTAGATTCATAAATGCTCAGTCTTTGAACAGAAAAACTATTTCTAAAACTTCTCACCAGAAATGAAATACTCTTCTCAAGAAAACCAGATATACGAAGACATGTTTTCAAAAACCAAATATCTGCACGTATTAACCTACACTTAGTGGTAAACTCACGATACAAATTGAGTTTGGCTGTTCTTGCTGTTTATTTTTACTAAATTTTATTTTTTCCCTCTTTTCAGCTTATCATTTATGATATTGTTAAGCGATTTTCAGCCAATTTTTCTCTAAGTATTCAAATTGATCCAGAGCGCTGGTGAAACGAACCGTAAAATGAACCAGACATTTGGCAATGATAGTGTTAATGAACGCACTGTTCGACGTTAGTTAGCGAAATTTCGATTATGAGAATTCGGCCTCGAAGATGAGTCCCGAATTGGTAGACCTACATTAATCCAGGACGAGAGTTTGAAGATCCCAGTGGAGACCGAACCTTCACAAACGGTGTGTAGGATGGCGGAAAAACTGGGCGTCAGCTCCCGTGCGGTTTTTGATGGTTTTAAAGACATTGAAAAGGTTAAATAGCTTTAAAAATGGTTGCCCTGCAATTTGAACAATCGTCAGAAATTGTCATGTTTCAAAATCTATTCTTCTTTGCGTTTGCGCAACTAGAACAACCCTTTTTTGGATCGGATCATCAGCTGTGATGAAAAGTGGATCCTCTTCGACAGAGACAATGTAATACTCTAGTATTGCATTTCTGGTGATTGGAAAAATTGTTTCTCTTGGTTTGTTTCAGTCTTACCTATTATTAGAAAAATTAATCTTCACAAAAAAATACTTTTTCGTTAAACCAATTAAACTGTATGGAAATAGTTTTCAACATCAATAAAACAAAATTAATTCCATGAAACAATATAGTTCTTTCTATGACTTTTTATAAAAGAATGCCTCACCTTCTCTTCTGTCCAGTCTTTTGGCAATACCGTATTGTCTACTTCATCAACAGAATTCAGCTGAAATTTACGAAATTCTGCTGCAATGGCTTTCAAATCTGTACTGAATCTCATGCTTCTTCTTGCTTGCCAGTAAGTTCTGCCTCCAAATGTATCATGTAGAGCAACTTCGGCATGATCAATGAGAATAATCCTGTAAAGCATAAAGGCATTATATTTATGAAACAAAAATTTAGAATACATATACTTTTTTATAAAAATATATTATTTCTAAGGAAAAAACCATCTGAACAACTATTTTCCACTTCCAATTCGTTTTCCAGGTTTTTAGGTTGTTTTAAAAATTTTGTCTGTTTTGAGGTAATGTGTTTTTGTAGCTTCATATATCAATAAATTTTGTGCTTTATATATTGATGCTGTTTACTTTTTCAAAATTTAAATTATTTTACTCTTTTCTGTTTATTACTTATGATGTCGTTAAGCAATTTATGGCCAATTTTTCTCTACGAATTCAAATTGAACCAAAGCGCTGTCGAAACAACCTGATACATTTATCAGTCATTTGGCAATGATAGTTTTATTGAAAGCACTGTTCGACGTTTGTTTGCAAAAATTTGTTCCGGAGATTTTAACCTCGGAGATGAGCCCCAAAGAGGTCGACCTACAGTAATCTTGAACGAGAATTTGAAGACGTCAGCGCGGTATTTGGTGGGTTAGCTGTTGTTTTTCGTCGACCTACAAAATCGTAGATATCACATGAGAGGCAAGGGTTTGGCATTTTCACCAGAAATTGGGTATATCCATTCAAATAATTAAGTGTTAATTTAATTTTGGCTGCATGTTACTATCCTTGAACAAGTTATAACTAATACATTTATGGTTGATCAGAAGACAGACCAATCTGCAGCAAAGTGAAGACAAGATTATATATTATATCAAAACAAATGTGATAACTTACTTAGCTGTTGTGTTCAAAAACAGTTCTGTTAGTTTTGTCGCTGATCCATGGTAAGACAAACAATAAGAAATTTTCGCAGTAATATTCTTGTAGAAGAAAAATGTTGGTTCTTCTTTCCTCAAACATTTATCAATCTTCATTCTGTCTTCAAAATTCCCAGTTTCAAACATATCCTCAAAGTGTTGTAAGGAGTATATCTCATCTATAACTATTCCCGAATACTTTCTCTGGTAGTCTGAAATAAAATCCCGGTAATCATCAGCGTTTCCAAACGATGAGACACTGACTATTGAAGAATTCATGCATTTCTATTACTGGCGCAAATGTCTGAAGGCTCTTCAAATCAAAGTAGAGTCCCCAGGGGATGTGTTCCGGTTGGTTGTTGTAGCCCCAGTGGATAAGGTTAGACCAAGGCGGCAACACGAGTTTGAACTTGAGTTGTGGGTTGTGGGACTGGTGCATTTTGTACGCGAGCGTGGCAAACCTCATATAAACATCTCTTCGTAAATTGAATCCTTCTGGTCTGTTAACATCATAAAGTAAATATCTGTAAAAAAGATATTCACATTTCAAATGAAATCAGTGCTAGATCAAAAAATTACATTATCTATATTTGCTCATAGGAAATTCCACAAAAGGAAAACTTCAGTATTTACTACCTGAAATTCGATTCTTCACAATTTTTGTCATTGTAGCAAGCGTTCTCTGCATTGGAAATAGCATTATTAATAAGAAAAAATAACATGAAATTGAACCACATTTTTTTCTGGAAACGATAACTATTTCTATTTTAATTTTTTTTTTTGAATCCCTACATCCCCTCCAAGAAGCAGAAAAACTATTATTTTTTAAACCTCTCGTGAGCAGTGTTGCCAAACGCCAAAGATCGGAAAATCTAAACCTGTCTTTGGCTCAAAAAATCCGTTTTTATTCGCATTCAATTCAAAATTATCCTATGGATATCCGAACATGATTTTTAGAGTAAAATCTAAGGAAAATGCGTTTGAATGCGAATGAATTCAATGACATATATTCCAAAATGTTATATATTTGAATGCACCATGACTTGTTGTAGTTCTGACAAGCAACTTTTTATGCAGTTCTACCAATTTTGAAGATATAATACTATCAACTAAGATTACAGAAGAAACTTGAAAAAATATATATAACAAAATTACTCAAATATTAATATATTTCACCACATCCCTATCAAGTGTTTAGAATAAATTCAAGTTACCTATTGATTGAAAATCATTTATATGTAAGGTCACTAAAGTTAAAGATCTGTATACCTCCTTGTGTTGGAATTTCTCAATAGAAAATTCAGTACCTTAATTTATGCATCAGCTCGAAAGCTGTTTTACTTGTCTTTCTGAAATTTCATCAACACTGAAAGAAACATTTTTTTACCCATCATTATTACTTATGGTCCAACTTGATTCATCATTACTGAAACTTATTATCATGTGTTGAGGGTTTTTATTTTTGCACATGGGTAATTTACCTTCTGTTTCAATTTTTTCATCACTTCTCGATGAAGAGAAAACAATTGATTGATTTAACTTTTGTACTCTCCCTTTACGCGCCATCGTTCTGCCAAGTACTGAAACCGCACACTCACTAGGGCGATATTCACTGATCTGGTTTACACATATATGTTTGTATATTAACTGACACTTGTTTTGCCAATGGAACATTAATTTGGCACTGCGATTGATGTGTCAAGACTGTCAAGTGTCAGTGTCACAGGTCGACAGGTGTCAATGCAAATATGCAAATTAGATTGGAGAGGGGCGGTGTTTCCTAGTTTGATTTTGTCAAATTGTTCTGCATTTTTAAATTCATTTAGAAGGAAAATGGTTTGTAATTTCGACAAAGAAATATTAAGACTATACATGTAATAATGTTTGTTTTTATATTTTGATAGCCGACGACACCGTCACAAATCTCACCTGTAGAGGAACAAGAAAAATATTTACATGATGCCTTAGGTATTGTTAAAGCCCAAGCATTCCATATGAAAAGGGCCTTAGACAAAAACAAGTTGATGGATGCTTTGAAAAATGCAAGCGCTATGTTGGCAGAGTTAAGAACTTCCCTTCTTTCCCCCAAAAGCTATTATGAACTATGTAAGGCAGATTAAACATTTCACCTGGTGATTTTAAACTGTTGTTTTTAATTTCCAGACATGGCAATATCTGACGAGTTGAGACACTTGGAATTATATTTGGTTGATGAATTTCAGAAAGGGAGAAAAGTGCCCGATTTGTATGAGCTTGTACAATATGCTGGAAACATTGTTCCTAGGTTATACTTGTTGATCACTGTTGGATTGGTTTACATCAAAACTAATACTGCTTTAAGGAGGGATCTTCTAAAAGACTTAGTTGAAATGTGCAGGGGTCAGTAATTAACCCCTTGTTGAGCTAGCAGAACCACTGGATTTTTTTCATTAATTTTTAGGCAATGATTCTATTGTTTTCTTCCGAATTTTTTGCTCTTCATTCAACAAAGGTATCTTAGGTTTTGCCAGCTTAACATTAAGCTAGCAGAACCCCAAAAAAAACTGAATATCAGACTTTACCATAATTTTAGTCTCATTTTAGGATTATTTTGTACTTTATTTTTTGCTCTTCATTTGAAGAACATGGGTTCAACCAATCCAGCATTAAGCTGGCAGAACCCAACCACAGAAAGAACATTTTACTGAATCAGATTAAACTCTAATTTCAGGCTAATTTTATACTATGTGCCCAAATTTTTACTCCTTATTCTCACAGAGACATTGTAGGTTTTGTCGGATTAATGTCCGGCTCATTTTAGGAAAATTTTGTTCTCTATTCTAGAAAATTTAGCTGTCATCTCAACATTAAGTCAACAAAACTCAACTACAGAATTTAATTAGACTACTCCATAAATTTCAGTCTGATTTTTTTAAATTTTTGCTTTTAATTTAACGAAGTTATCAGCTCAATGTTAAGCTAGCAGAACCCACCCACAGAACAATATTTTACTGTATCAGACTTCGCCTTGATTTTAGTCATATTTCAAACTAATTTTGTACTTTATGCTTTTAATTAACAAAACAAAATTAACATGGGCTCTGCTGATTAACGTTAGGCTAGCAGAACCTAACCACAGAAAAAACATTTTATTGAATCGGACTACGCCACAATTTCAGATTCATTTCATGCCAATTTTGTACTCTACTGTCAAAATTTCGTCTCTTCTCTTAAAGATATTTTGGATTCTGCCACGTAACATTATGATTCTAACAAAAAACAAAACATTGTTCAACAGCATTGGGAACTTGAAATTGGCTAGACAATTGCAAATTCAAAATTCTCAGAAAATGAAGGATTTCCATTTCATTCTGCCAGCTTAATGGCAAAATTAACAGTACTTATCTAAGGAATAAAAAAATAAGTAGAAAATCTGAGAGACATGAAAAATGTAGTTTAAAATGAAGCTGAAATTCCCAATATACTTTAATTTCTCCCACACCTGAAGAATATTTTCCATAGTATCCAATATTCAACTAAATTGCAAGTGTTACATATTTTTGTTACTAACTGTATACATACAACTATAAAAAGTCTTTTGAGATTTTTTGTGTCGAACAACTTTGAATAACAGCCACTCGAAAATGATTTATTACTACACTGTTTAAGGAAATAGGGGCCTAAAGTTAATGCAAAGAATATTTCTAAAAATGGAAGGATTCAGCTTTATCTAAAATGAATCTAAAATTATGGCTTGAAAATGTACCAATCTGTTAGCTCAACAGGGGTCGGTTAATAGATTTATTAGAGTGATATAGAATGGTAGTCATGTCTTTTTTAATTACTTTTAGGTGTTCAGCACCCTTTGAGAGGATTATTTCTGAGAAACTACTTGCTTCAATGTACCAGAAACGTTCTACCTGACATTTCAGAAACCGAATTAGATTGTCCGGAAGGTACTGTCAAAGACTCTATTGATTTCGTTTTGATGAACTTCGCAGAAATGAATAAACTGTGGGTAAGAATGCAGCATCAAGGTCATTCCAGAGATAGGCAGAGTCGCGAGAGGGAGAGGGAGGAGTTGAGGATATTAGTTGGTACTAATTTGGTTAGATTGAGTCAATTGGAATCGGTAACTCTGGAGAAGTATCAGAAATCAGTGTTGCCGGGTATTTTAGAACAGGTGAAATTTCGTTCCGTATTATAAGTGGGTCATCAGCCATCATAAGTTATTATTTTGACGGACAAACATATTTATTAGAGAAAACATTTTCAGGCTGACAGGCCGTTTTCGAATGGAACCTGTAGTAGCCAACAAACATACTCGTTTTCTCATTAACCCTTCATTAATAACCTGATTAAATAATTCAGTTTGCCTTTCAAAGCTGCCATAATTTACATGTAGCATTGCAAGTAACAAGAGTCTTCCTGTAAACAACTAGCCTATCAAGAACTCATTTGTATGCAATAAAATAAATGTATCTGGAACATTAACATAATACCTCTATCTCATTATTCAACTTTTATCGGAAAACATTGGTTTGCTTGAATGACATTGAAAGTCGTATCCAGAACGTCCTGATTTTGCTAATAGAGAATTCAGTTGACATTATTCCCTAAAGTAGCCATTATAATTGAAAAATTAGTAAAAAAATATGGTTTGCAACCTGTTCAATTGTCAATACGCCATAAAAGGAAGAAATGAAATGCCTGAAGCTTTTCTTATGAATTTTTCTAACCAATAGGTTATATTTATTCAGAAAGTAAATACAAACAATATGTAAATCATTATAATCTCAATTTTGCCAATCCTCAGCACTGGTAACATAATTACAAATTGCTCTGAAGATGAGGTGTTTAACAATTTTGGCACTTTTAGTGTACACTGTAAAATGCTTTGCAAAAGTGAAGAGTAAATTCTATAAAATCGTTTACAATAATTTTATAGAAAAATTATTGTGCACCTCTTCACCATTGAGATGTGGAAACCCTGATTTCATAAGTTCATAGATTCTCCTGTGCAACCACAATCAATGGATTAAAAAAAAAATAATTCCATCTGGGGTAATAAACAGCATTTCATTAATAATAAGTGTCTGATTCCAAAACATTGGATATCCACTATTGAGGATGACAGTGTTCCATTTAAGTGAAATTTTACCTTTCATATATTATATTGTGTAGCAACCCTGTGAATGATATCTGATTCAATTCCACACTAAAAAGGTAATGTTTTTGAGAGGGCTTTTTCTTTCAGTTTCTTCTGAAAATCATTTATTTGCATGATCTACACATCTTTGTGAAGAGTTCGCTTTGAAATCAATTGCTTCTTTCTTTTCTTTGGAAGATATCCACATTTTTTGTATAAAAATGGAGAAGTAGAAAGCTAAAACCTTTCTTCCCCATTAATAAGAATATTTAACCATAACTTATAAGCCCAAGAATATATAAAGCCATGATAAAAAATTTGGAGAATTTCACTAAGAGTTGGACACTTCTATAATAACCTTGTAAACTGTGCAATAGTGTGTTGCGAATTTATGTGATATATTTAGTACAGCTCTTCCCAAACGTTGTTTCTGTTTTGGTAGAAGCAAGGACTAATAAGAATATTTTTTGTACCTCGACAACTGAAATATGATAATGGGTGGAATTTTTCACATTATATAAGAAAATCCTGTTTTTTTTTGTAGGTGGTTAGTTGTAAAGATGCCATAGCACAAGAATATCTGATGGAATGTATAATTCAAGTTTTTCCTGATGAATTCCACATTCAAACTCTCAATCCGTTCCTGAAATCTTGTGCTGAATTAGAAGCAGATGTCAATGTGAAAAATATTGTCATCTGCTTGATGGAACGTTTAGCAGCTTTCAGTCAAAGATCGGATGCAATTGGTGGGGAAGGTATGAACGATAATAATAATAATGAAATTTATATTAGTTTCTATTGACTTATGTACAATAATTACTGATATCTTCAGGGGCTAGTATTCTTCAGGAAGTTGAGCTTTTCGAAGTGTTTTCCAACCAGGTCTCATCAATAATTGTGAACAGGCATTACCTTCCTCCAGAAGATATGGTGGCTCTGCAAGTGGCTCTCGTTAATCTCGCTTTGAAGTGCTATCCAGATAGAATCGATTATATTGATAAGGTCATGCTTTCCACTGTTGGGGTGAGTTGAATTTTAGGTGAAAAGTTACACAACTGTGAACAACTATACTGAGAACATCTCATGCTCTTCAAACTCTTTAGTTTTAGTGATGCAATTTCTAAAACAGATAGTAGCGTAATGTTGAGAAAATGAGAAAGAGAACAATTTTTTTTTAAATAAGTTACCCCAATCTACAATAAGTACAGAGAAATATTCGAAAATAAAGACATTCTCTAAAAAAATGTAAATATAAATTTTCATAGATAATGAGTAATTTGTTAAAGCATAAAAAAATGTACAGCTAACTGAAGGAAAAAAGTAACTAACTATTCACTTATATTTTTTGTCTTTGAAAAGCATTCCTACAGTTTGATGAATGGTTGTCGAGTTTGTCAACATAAAATTCTAGAAGAGTACTTACACAATACACATCAAACTAGTTTGGTATAAAATAAAATGAGTAAAAAAATTTATGTTAAACGGTTGAATTGAAGAAAAGATGATAATGATGTAGATAATGTACTAAAAAGATCTTCATGGACATGATACATGAAATAAAAATCAATATAGGATGCCAAAAGTAAATAATGAAAAAACAAACATACAAACTGAATTCTTGCCAATGAAACTACAACCAAATACCAGTGGAATGGAAGCATTACACAACTAAAAAATTAAAATACCAACTAAAACAATAATTGCTACTGAATCCACTATATGATATAAATGAAATTTTTTTTCATTCATGAGTCTAAATACATATTTTGTGATTAATGTTTCTGTGTTTTTCATCTGTGTGCCTCTAAAGTTAAAACTAAAACTAAAGGTATAGGATTTGATTTTCAAAACAACACAAAATATTTAAAAAAAAGTGATGAAGTCTTTATTGGAATCAATAGAACGATCAATATAATTTAATGTTTGAAGATGATTTCATGCAAATGTTGTCCGCGGCTCCATTTTAGATGGTCCATGCGCAAGGTCCAATTTTGGCACACTCTCTCTAACATATCGACGGGTATTTCACGTATAACGTTGCTGGTTCATCCTTGTAGACATGAGCCTTAACATGACCCTACAAGAAATAATCCAAAGGCGTTAAATCACACGATCTAGGCGGCCAATATATAAATGAAATTTTTTTTCATTCATGAATCTAAATACATATTTTGTGATTAATGTTTCTGTGTTTTCCATCTGTGTGCCTCTAAAGTTAAATCTAAAACTAAAGGTATAGGATTTGATTTTCAAAAAAACACAAAATATTTAAAAAAACTGATGAAGTTTTTATTGGAATCAATAGAATAATCAATATAATTTAATGTTTGAAGATGATTTCGTGCAAATGTTGTCCGCAGCTCCATTTTAGATGGTCCATGCGCAAGGTCCAATTTTGGCACACTCTCTAACATATCGACGGGTATTTTACATATAAATGCTTCAATATTGGCTTCCAGAGCGTCAGTCGTTGCTGGTTCATCCTTGTAGACATGAGCCTTAACATGACCCCACAAGAAATAATCCAAAGGCGTTAAATCACACGATCTAGGCGGCCAATTGGTGGGCCCCAAACGTGAGATAAACTGTTCACCGAAAGGGCTTCTTATTGTTTCGCGTGCCATGTGGCACCGTCTTGTTGAAACCACATGTCAGGCATGTCCAATTCTTCCATTTTGGCAATAAAAAATCGTCAATCATCATAAGGTAGCGCTTGCCATTCACAGTAACGTTCCGGTCATTGTCGTCTCGATGATGCCACCGACTCATAATCCACACCAAACAGTGACTTTTCTGCTTGTTAACGTATCCATTCAACCAGAAATGAGCCTTGTCACTGAACACAATTTGTCGATGAAAATGTGGATCTTCCTCCAACTTTCCCGGCGCCCATTCACGAAATATTAGACGTTGTGGGAGGTCGTGTGGCTTCAATTCTTGCACCAGCTGTATCTTATAAGGTTTTACACCCAAGTCCTTTCGCAGAATTTTCCACGTAGTGGAGTAACGACCCAGTTGCTGCGAATGGCGGCGCATCGACATTTCACGGTCATCACGAACACTGGCGGATACAGCCGCAATATTTTCTTCGGTTCTCACTCTACGTATGCGAGTTGGTGGTTTAATGCCCAATAATGTAAACTGGGTTCGAAATTTAGTCACAAGTTCCGAATAGCTCCCTCAGTAGGCCGACGAAACTGACCATAAATTGGAAGAAGTGTACAATGCACTTTCTTCACCGAGCATGAATTTTGATAATAAAATTCAATAATTTGCAAGTGTCAAAAACGGTGTTGCCAAGAAGATACCAGCAAAAAAAATCACTCATTATATGTATAAGTGTGACTGGTTTTATATATGTAAGTATCTAATTTTTGATACGCTAACAATTTTTTTTCTATATTCTTAAATATTTTTTAGTTTGAGAATACTCTCTACAATATTGTGACATACCTAAACAACTGTTTTCTGTAAAAATTTTTTGAAGGTGAATAATTATCTTATCTTACTACGCTCAATGATTTTATTTTTTTCTGAACAATACAGTATATTGCTGAGGAGAGTGGTGTGATTACTGCTACCTAGGACCTTTCGAATTATTTTTTAGTTTTTTAGTACATTATCTACATCATTATTATCTTTTTTTCAATAAAACAGTTTAACATAATTCTTTTTACTTATTTTATTTTATACTGAACTAGTTTGATGTGTATTATGTAAGAACTGTTTTCAAGTTTTTAGTTTCTATTTTTGTTACTCAATTCTTCTCATTTTGTTTAGTTCATTTTGTTCTTCAGTATTACAAGGTTTATTTCCTGACAATTTGTTGCAATCTAACTCCTAAATACATAAACCTTCCAAAGACTTTACTCGACTTAAAGCCACTTATGCTTATCCTTCTTCAAGTAATTTTGAGCTTGAGTATACAAATGCGTGTAATTGTTGAACAGATCATATTTGATTTGCATTTTTTTCATAGTACTACCATACTACTAGTCAAGCCCTGTCATTTGATACCCATGTTGTGGTAGTTGTAAAATTATGAAATCCGCTATTTTGTAGCTGCGGTCATCTTGGATTTACAATGATACATAATTTATTAAATTGTATTGTAATCAAAACTTAATGTATGTAACAAATATCAGATCAATCTGTCAACAGGAAGGAGGTCAAACTTCAATTACTAACAACGTACAAACAAAAACCGGGCAAACTATATAAAACCGTTGAAAATAGTACTTGTTAAACGATTTCAACTTGTAAACACTACAGATACTTGAATGAAAACTTCAATTTTATCTATATTAACTGGTAAATATACCGAAAAACAGTTACTTATGTTCCTAAATGAACGTGAAATATAATTTAAAAAAATAAATAAAAATAGAACCCTTTCAATGTATTAAAGATCACTGTTATACGTTTTTATAGTTGAGAACTCCTTGATTTATTTTTTAAACTTTGGATTTTTCATTCCTTGATAGTTTTTTGTAGCTTGTTGAAAAGCCTATGTCAGTTGTAATAAATACCTTTCTGTTATAGACTTGTTGAGTGTTGGTAGTACTAATAACTGAATGTTACTTTATCACAATTTTTCATTCAAGAACGCAATTGGTGACATTGCTTTGAGTTACTCTACAGTACTTTGTTATTTTACACAGATATTCCATCGTCTTGCATTAGAACACCTGGAGTCCCATTCTTCCGTGGCAAAAGAACTCCAGAAACTGTTGAAAATCCCGTTAGACAACTACAACAATCTCCTTATGATTCTCAAACTCCAACACTATGCGGGACTGATGCAGCATTTGGATTACTATGGCCAGAAATCTCTGAGCATTTATATCCTGAACAACGCTTTGGAGAACGAGACTATTATACCATCAGCAGAAGAAGCTGAACAAGCTTTAACTTTATTGAGCACTCTGTTTTTTGATAAAAACGAACATACCATCGGAGACATAGATATGGATCAACTTACCGAGGAGCAGTGCTTGCTGGCTAGATTTATTCACCAGATGAGATCCAATAATCCAGATGATCATTATTTGATACTTACTACTGCTAGGAAGGTGAGTTTGTTGAAGCGTTTTCTGACGCTCATGTATTTAAAACATATTCATCTGTGATTAAAATACATTCATTCTGCTGTTGAAACGATGACGTCTCATCAACTATGATTTGCAACGTATTCATGATGATTAAAAACTAGCGTGAGGTTGGTTTTGAAAAGTAATTTGACGTTATATTACTTCAGTTGTCAGTTTCTGCTTTATTTTGATCGTTATCTTTTATGGAGTGCTAAAATTTTTTTATCATATATGTTGTAAGGATGTACAAAATAAAGCTGCAAAATTATCACTTGCATAAATCTGATTCTAATTGGGGTTAGAGAAAATTGAAAAGTTCATTTTAATTATTGAATTTGACATCTGACACAAATGGAATCACTCCATTCTGGCGAACCTTATTATCAATGACGTCACTACGAATTGTTTTTGAATACACGCTCGATTACGATTAAACGCCAGAAAACACCTTTGTAGTGGGAGAGAAAAAGAGGAGAAGGAAAGGGTTGTAGTGTCAGAAAGTGTGAATGTCAAAAGGGGGCAAAAAAATTTAAACGCTTTCTGCAAGAAAATTTATTTTATAGCATTGATGAATTTTTATTGTAACTTTTTAAGCAAATAACTTATATCGATGTTCTTTTTGTTGTCTTGTAGTTATGTATGTAGTCTTTACTATATTTATATACATGCACTAAGACATTATATCCTGACATGTTCTATACCCTAATGGGTCCTTTGAATGAATACACTGATTTGATTTGATTTGATTTGAATTGAAAATGTACGGGTTGCTTGAGAATTTGGGTTGAGTATTGAGTATTTAAGGTATTTGGGAATATTGGATCTTATGAGCATAAGTGGATTAGAAAGGCCCGTAAATTTGAGACCAACTGGAAAACCCCGATTATAAATAATGAAAAATTAAATAACTCAAACAAGATTAGTTAACAATACATAAAATAAAAATTATGCCATAAAACAATCTGTTTTGTTGTACACATTTTAGAGCTAGCAACTCTAGGCTAAATACTAAAAAATTAAGATTCACTTGAAAAACATGATAACCTCGACAGTAAGATCTTGAGACTGAACAGTTCTATTTGAATAGGCTTGTGTTTAGTCCTTTTTCTTCAGTCTATCTTGTTTTGGTATTCAGGGCCTGCTGGATGTGTCTTCTGCATAGCCCACTATTTTATGTACATTATGATTCAGAAGATGTAGTGACTTATCCATTAAAAGGTTCCATAACAGTGAGAACAAAATCCTCCAGAGTACAGCAGTTTCTATCCGCACCACTACTCTTTCCACTATAATAGTCATGTATAATAATGTTTCTTTAAGCATGCAGTCTATTTACGAAAAATGTATTTTGATAAAAATATTTTTTCTCTTTCAGATATTGGGCACTGGTGGCCCTCTCAGAATCAAATACGTTCTTCCTCCGCTCGTTTTCCAAGCCTACCAACTACCCTATAAATACAGGGACCTGAAAGACGAAAAGTGGGAGAAAAAATGCACCAAGATATTTCAGTTCTGCCACCAAACCATCACCACTTTGGTAAAAGCCGAACTGGCGGAGTTACCTCTTCGGCTGTTTCTCCAAGGCGCCCTCGCAATCGACCAAATACGGTTCGAGAACTACGAAACGGTTGCCTATGAGTTCATGTCGCAGGCGTTTTCCCTGTACGAAGACGAGATTTCCGATTCTAAAGCGCAGTTGGCTGCTATAACGCTGATTGTAGGCACTCTGGAGCAAATCAGTTGTTTTTCCGACGAGAACTGTGACCCTCTGCGATCCCAGTGCGCCCTGGCTGCCAGTAAGCTCCTCAAGAAGCCAGATCAATGTCGAGGGGTGGCAACGTGTTCACACTTGTTTTGGAGCGGAAAAAGTTTGAGCAAGGAAGGAGAAGAGGTGCTTGATGGTAAACGGGTGGTGGAGTGTCTTAAGAAGGGCATCCGCACTGCGAAGCAATGTATGGACGTCAACGTGCAGATACAACTCTTCGTCGAGCTGCTCAACCACTACATCTACTTTTTCGAGAAGGGCAACGACCAAATCGACGTTGAGGTTCTCAATCAGCTGATCAAAAAGATTAAGATCGAGCTCGCGAACTTGGAGTGTTCTGATGAGGCAGATCAGATTACAAAGCATTTCAGCAATACTTTGGGGCATTTGCAGATGAGGATGGAGTCTCCAGATGGGGATAGGGATTCCTACAAGGGGATAGTTTTGGAACCTGATTTCGCGGACGAAGATAAGGACGAGCCGCGGACGGTTGAGGCGTAGTGGAAGGCTATGAATGGGGGAAATTAGACACATCAAATAGATAATTTTAATACACTGAAGGCATGTTGTTAGTTGATGGTTTTATTCAATTCTTTATTTTGTAATTATGTATTTATAGTTACAGTCGCTATTTAAAATAAAAACATATATTAGTTATTTATTGTTTTCTTTATTGACTCTTCCACTTGGAATTTTTTAGTATGGGTTGTAAAAGTGACAGTTTTTCATGTTTTTTTGTTTACCCATTTATAAATAATTAATATCATATCATTTTATAGAACATGGAAAAAATGTATGACTTTATGTGTGATGACTACATTGAGGTGTAACCACCTACCTACAATCAATCATCAACAAAATCATCTGGGATAATATTTTTTCGAACTTCCAAATTTGATAAAAAATGATGAAAGATAATCCCACATTCGATCATAGATTCCGAATATGTCAATTTAATCTGCCTTGACCCTCTAAAAATGGCTCAAAAATTCTTTACTGGCAATTCCTTACTGGTGCAAAGTTGCACATTTATATTGCCAACATAATACCAGTTATAAAGTTTTGAAATTGCGAGTATTAACGGAAATTTTGTGAAATTATTTTGAAGTGATAACTTCTTATGGGTGGGTAAACCGCTTGGTAACGTAACGCATAACGGCGCCAGTATGTCTGGTTTTCTCTTTCTCCTCACTGTAACCCACAGCGCTAGCCCAATTTTGGACAAACGATTGTCTGTCCTCACTTTGCGTGACTTGGTGTACGATCGACATATAACTGTTGATAGTGAGAATATAACTTAAAAGTATCACCGCTTTTGAAATTAATTATAATAAATTTGATGAAACATGCAGAAAATGATCCTCGAAACATTACAAAATTTCCTAACGAAATGTAAGTTTAATTGCTAATATAATACGATTTATCAATAACAAGCATAATGAAAATGTAACAAGCAAGCACGTTCTTTCATTATGTGAAACGTGATTAAAAAATGATGATACTAATTTTGTGTATGTACATTATTACTATCATTATTTGATTCAACAAAAGTGCCAATTGGCTTATGGTAGCTATACAAATGTATGTACTTACACAAAATATCAATAAATAACCTTTCCTTACATTATCATGTTAGTATACATAAAATTCAAGTAATAACCTGAGCTTGTCTCTCTCGCTAATTTTGTTGTCGTTGCTTCCCGGTCGGGTGCATTTGTCCAGGCTCCTCCTATCAAAGGTGACAGGAGCTTCGTCGTTTGGGGGGGACAGCGGCCTTTCTCGAAGCAATGCTGCCGCCCCTTTTTTGTCAAACTCATTTACGATGAAAACAATTTAACTTTTTTATTGTCTCTCTTGGAAGACCTTTTCATTTTTGCCATATATATTTTTTGAGTCGCCTCCTCTTCGGGAGACCTTCAGGTTTTTAAATTCACATACATGGCTTTACGTGGTTATCCGAACCACCCCGGCTTAGATACCGACGTGAAAAAAGGGGGCCCTCACTTCACATTTTTGTTTAAACTTTCACATAAAGTTTACCATATTGATGACTTTGCACAATATACAATCACAACACGTGGCATCCGCGTACCTTCTTTGTGGACGGACGTTATCGGCACGTCCGTCCACTATCACTGTCACCACGAAACTCTAAGCTTGTCTCATGTTGAACAATGTCAATATTGAATTTCATAAACTACACCTCACGATTTGATCTTCACAAAATTTATTTAAAAAATATATCACGACATGTTTCGTGACTAGTTTGTAACTAGTTACAAATAAAACAAATGCAGCTTTTACTGGAAGGCAACTTGCTGAAAACCAGAGCCCAAACAAGAACAGTTAAGTACAGCAATGCATTTGTGGATCAGGCTAGTACCACTGATGAGATTTATGGCGGATCGAAACAGCGCTATCTTGTATTGAATCATAAATGCGTTGTGTTTGGGTTCTGGTTTTCAAATATATTGTTTCTACTGTCCAAATACGTATTACATACACCAACACAATTTGCAGGGTACAAATGCAAGTGGAACTTTCTCATATAGAAGACGCCTGATTTTTGTTATTATTAACACCCTTAATGATATTGTGGAAATACAAAACTTTGAGAAAAATTCAATTCAAAGTATAGTTTGGAAACATCATATCTGATATTCAAATAATCACTTCCATTTGTCGTTTCGTTTACTCGTTAATTACCGTCGCATCAGTATCTAGTTTCCTTGATGGATTTTTTATTAAATTGTATTTTGAAATTGGAAAATCGTGTTCTGGTTAATCATGAAAGTTTATTATTTGTTGGAATTCGATATGCTAAATCTCTTATTATTGATACCACCGCACTCCCTCACACTAAGAAATGATTATTTATCTCTTAATATCCAGATGGAATCCATTGAAAATGCGCATTCGACTCTGGATATAATTTTGTTCGCAATCATTATGAAATGATGTCTTTTTCATGACTTATCCAGTTTAAGAAACGAGACGAGGGTCCCTGACAGAGGTGTGGAAATAGTTTCCTGTGTCTGCAGCTTTCACCTCAAACCGACTACCAGATGATCCTACATTCCAAGCTGATTATTCTGTAAAACCCATAGATAATCGACCCCTTCATAGTGAGAGTCGTCATGTTCACATTTTTTCTTGTTGAGCACAGTCGCGTTCAATCTTTGTATTCATGACTCAGCCCAGTACTACTGATATGATCTATGGCAGATCGAAACGGCGCTGTCAGATATTCGTTAATAGTATATTATGGAACGATCATGTAATGATGGTTATTAAGACACGAGCATTAACCGGGATATGCGAGTGTATTAATAACCATTACATGAGAGTTGCATACGCTATTTTTTCTAAACCCGATAAATAATGATAAACTATAAATATTATATTTGTATTGAACACATTTACAGTAATTAACTCATATTAAAAAAAACACAAACTTAATGGTATTATCATGGATATATGAAAACTATAAAGATTCTAATTATATTTATATTGAATATAACAACTGTAATTAATCTGCAATTAGTTACTTAGGTTAGAATCTAGGACAAACAAAGGAACAGGATTCTTGATTNCTTTTGAAATATTTGATTCTATTGTAAATAATCCTATTGATATTTTTATCGAAAAAAGAATGGCACTCTGTTATCATTATCAAATTGGTGAAGTTGCTAAGACCTAACGTGTTTTTCAGAATTTGCTTTAAATTATAACTATTACTAACATTTTTTGTATTAAACATGATCACCACTAAATCATCCTTACCGTAATCTAAAGTATCAACAAATACGTTTTTGTGAGATCAGAGATTTCCAGCTCCTCCAATAGCGACATTTGGTTGATTTTCTTATTTGGTGTATTATCATAATCTGATTCAGTCGAAATATTGAGAAGTCTTTCTAAATCATTATTTGAATCAACAGTGGACAAGCCATCCAGGTCCAATGTGTTAAGACTAGAGTTTTCCATTCTTGTGTCTTCTTGTTTGTGTCGGTTATTTTCTTTGTGTCTTCTGTGTTCGTGTTTTTTCCTTCCATTAATTATTTTTTTTGATCTTTCTTTCTTTTTTATTTCATTAGTTTTCTCATTTTGTCGGGCATCATTTGGCAACATTGTATTGACAATAAATTCATCAGTTTGGGTAGAAGCATCAGTATCATTAATTACCTGTCTGTTCGAATTTTTTAGGAGAATGGTTCTTTGTTCTGTTTGAGTTTGGGCGCTGGTAAAAAGTGTTCTCTTTTTATTCGCAAATTTCAGATCGTTTAGACTGTCCTGCAATCCGCGAATGGTTTTTTGATACTCTTCAATTTTATTCAGAAAATCATTTTCCATCGTTAAGGCTTCTTCGTAGAATAAATGATACTTTTTATTTAATTTCTCAATAGTATCTTCTTTTTGGGCATTTTCAATTTTTAGCTCTTCAATAAGTTTAGAATAGAACTCATAATTGTTATCATCACTGTCCATATTAGAACTCGCACATTCCTTACATATGAGTTTATTATTATTTTTGTATGTATTTGGAGCAATTTTATCGTAACAATTTACGTGGAATACTCCATGGCACCTGATGCATACATAGTATCCATTTTTTAGCTTTTTATTGCGCAAAAAACGCAAAAACTCACTAATTTTTGAGGAGCACTCAGAGAGATACCGATTACCGGCGGCCATACTGCGCATTCTTTACCCAATTGAGAGGCAACGAAATCATCTGTGAAGATTGAAAAATGTTTGAAATTTTGTTTGGATATGATAGTGCTGGCCCATATATTTTTTCATTTTTCCCAATATGTACATTCCCAATATGTACATTCTCCATTGTCGTTCCATATACCGCTTTATTCATTAGTTTATAGAAATCTTTTACAGATTTGTTGTTAGACCTATTACGCATTTCAGTATTATGATCTATATAGGGTTTCATCCAACATGATTGTTTGAAATCTCAATACTCTTTGTGTATTCATCACATTCAAACCATTTTTGAAAGCTTGCTGTAGTTTTCTATGATGAACATTATTTTCTTTTTTCATTCTAATTCAGAATCAATTTGGGAATTTTTGATTGTGTACGAGGTGGTACTATTCTTTCACCTGGTAATGGAAGATCAGAATGTTTATCATGCAACTCTTGTGGATAATGAATGTCCAATTCAAACACATACGCATACGGACTATCAGCACTCACATTCATCACATCAAGATTAGGAATTTCATTAGGTGTCAACCATGTGAATTCACTTGTTGGTAGAGGTTGTGACATACTATAATCAAATAGATTTGTTGCATCTAAATATGTAATGAATGTGAAAGGTTCATTGGGATAATAATTTGGTAAAAATTTATTATTTGCGATGTGTTTTCTCTTGCTACACTGAGTAATTCCACCATTTTGGAAAAAGTGAATCATATCAATGTCATGGGCTGATAGCTGACTAGAAACTAATTTTGAAAGATCTCTGATCTAACAATAGTGACTATTACCGGAGTCATCAGTTATGAGTAACAAATTGACATGTCTCCGGAGTCTTCTGTGTGAGTATCGCAATGGACCAATCACTTCATACTTTATTTTGCCCTTCTCAAATTTACTCTCCAAACCGTAAACATAAATTGAAATATCATTTCTATCTTCCAATCTTTCAATACTCTTATTATCAACTTTACCCGGAAAATCCATACCTGTGACATCTAAAACATTGGAAAAATGTGGATATGACGTAACTTCTGACACTCTACCATTTGCAGAATATAATGCTAATATTATAGCACGTAATGATCCTCATTACGAACATTCACGGCAGCTTTCCTCCATTCAATGGAATCGGAAAGCTTCACATATGAACTTCCTTCCAGTGGACTATATTTATCAATGTTGACCCTGAGTCACGTTCCTGAAATTCAGTCATTTGAACCACAATTACATCGCGGAATCCATCAAAAACGGCATTCAAATCAGAAGATTGATCCACTATTTTATTTTGGAAAATAAATAATTTCGAGTCTCTCAAATCTTGAGTCTGAAGAATATAATTCTCAAAAACTTGAATCCTGATGGCCGATTGCAGTAATTCAATGACCTTCTGCCTAATCTCATTAAATAATGACATGTAGTCAGTGGATACAATCGAACTCTCCACCCTGTATGTAGCAATGCGGCAATCGAATGCATTCGTTATCATTTGAACACCTTCAGACAATTGAACACATGCATTATTTTCATGACTCATGGTTATTCAGTGAGAATTCACTTGGGTCAAAGGAATTGTCACATTGCAACAATTACATGTATACATAGGTGTTGCATTACCTACTCTCAACCGTTTCACTGAAGGCCCTCTTTGGCTACTCTGGAACTGATGCCGACGAAGATTCTCACTACGAGTGAAAGATCTACCACAGTCACAGGAATACATTTTCTATGATACGTTCTCACTAACTCACTGATATAAACTGACATAACCAACACTCGTCCGCTTCTTACATACAGCCTGATCGGTTCCGTCAAGACGTCATAGCCAACCCCACCTCTCAGCTACATGCGCCAACCCAACCTCTCAGCTAGTTGCCTTAACAGATATCGATACGAACAGACAGCGGTCGTTGTGCCATCGTAGAGGACAGACGGTTGCTGCTGTGACGTCACACCACTAACTTAGTGGGCACACCGATGGAACATTCATTACTTGAAGGATCTTTGAAGTATGCAGACGTATGTTTGTACACAAACACGCACATTATAAACCCTGTGTCGTGCATTCTCACACACACACACCAACCAAATGTAATTACGTCATGATGTGACACACACAAAATCTCATACGAAAAAATTCTGAATGATCCATGCACCAGACACCTCAAAGTCATATCGCCTTGATTTCACTAAACGAAAAAATAGCAATTATTACGTCATAGTGGTGGGGGGAAGCCCAGAAACGGCTGTAATCTACTACTCTTAGTTATATCTTGTGAAATTATGAATAGAATTTTACAATAACTTAAGTTCCCTCTAAAGAAACTATAATTACTTTATGTTTCTGACCTCTGAGCTCCTTCTATAACATGAAGATTTGCTATAACACACAACAGAGCATCAAACGCCCTATCTCCGTGACTCTTCTCATTATCACTTTTACAATTATCGATAATCTTCAAATCGCTTCTTTTGTAAAACCGACTGAGAAAGTCTTTGATGTTTTTGTATTGGATAACGCCATCTGCAGTTTGATAGCCTTGCTTTTTATAACTGCATGCTAAAAATTCCTTGTACTTAGGTTCATCTGGAAACTCTTCAGTGGCCACAGCTCTATCTATGATTCGTCTGTCAATATTGACTTCTTCCACACAGTCCAGGCCCATTTTTTCTCGTTCTCTCATGTCATCTGCATATGGGTCTGCAGGTGCACCCTGAAATACATTTGCATTATTTGAAGGAAAATGAGTGGGCTTCAAGAAAAGCGACACTTCTCAAAATGCCTAGAAATCATATCGATATAGGAATGTAGGCTTTCACCACTGGCGTCAATGTTTTGGTTGGATATTCTTTGGTTACAATCTCTAAACGTTTCAACTGCAACTGCGGCAGTCGTCTTCAGTGGGGTGGTCGAAGTTCTTTTCTTGACGTATCAAATGAAACGTCAGTTGATACTGAAACGTCAGTTGATACGTCTAGAAGAATACTTCATCACGACACTGTAGATGACTGCCGCAGTTGCAATTGAAACGTCAGTTGATACGTCAAGAAGAGTACTTCGACGGCTATACCACTGAAGATGACTGACGCAGTTGCAGTGGACACGTCTGGAGATTGTAACCAAAGAAGACCGCAGCAAAATCCAAAAACCAACCGAAACAAATCATATCAATGTCAGAATCACCATTTCAAAACATGAATATGTTTTTGTACAACTGTCATTGAAAGTGACATTTTTAATGGTTGTCAAAAATATTAAAAGCTAATGTTTACAAAGTAGCTTGTTAAAAATATTTTTAACACTAGTAAAATTTTTAACACGATTTTTTTCGATCAAACAGCAATAAATAAAACATAATTATTAAATTTTCAAGCAAGTTTTATTATGAACAATAGATATAGATACAATTAAATTCTGTTGCAAATGCATTATATACATTAATTACATTATTATTATTATTATTTATAAACAATAATATGAAAAGTACAATTAGAACAACTGCTGATATATTGATAACTTGCGAAGTTGAAGAGCCTTGTAATATATTTGAACTAGCTGAGTTGACAATTTCATGGGCATTAACATTTAATTCTTGAAGTGAAGAGGACTGTGCTGTAATGCTGGAGCTAGGTGTTGGAATTATTCTTTCAGCAATAGCCTTTTTATATCAATCAACCCTCAGCTACTGTTGTAGACTTCCATCCTCCGTGCTTCTTAATATCTGTTATATTTGTTCCTGATTCTGCTAGCAAAGAAGCAAAAGGCTTTCTGAAACAGTGACCTGTATATTCCTTTGGTTCCGGGAAGTTCAGAAACTCGGCAATGGTAAGGGGCATTTTCCCAAACGTGTTTATACCAACTGGATTGGCACTGCATTTATAATTTGAGTATATCAGAAAGAAAACGTTGACGATTGATATAAAAGGGCGTAATGCAACGTATTTATTAAAATATTCAATGTTTTTTCCAACAATGCAAAAAGAACGACCTATTTTCGTTTTTGTATTAGGAATTTGAACAATCAATGATTCATCCATTAATTTANATTATAATCGAATATTACCGAAACATCCCGAAATATAAAATTGAATTCAGTTTCTCAGTATGAAGTGAACGTCTACGATCCAAAAACTACAACAAAAATACAGGTTCGTATTTAAAAATTCAAAGATGGGGGTGGCCCAAGTCAGATAACACCCTATATAAAAGATTCATGGACATATTCTGATAGCCCACATCAAGTGCCAATAGCAAAATGTGAACAGATTTTCAATATGACTGCGAATAAAGAGGATAGAGGCAAAAAAAAAAATCGGATTTTTTGGTTTTTCCTGTATATCTCCAGAACCACCAAAAGAGCTATATACGATTTTTTTACATCATTGTATAGGTCTCTAAAAACGCAACTTTGCCACGATTTAACCGACACTCTATCGCTTATCGTTTACGAGATTCCTATGTACAGAAACGAATTTGAATACGATTCCGTATTTATGACGTTTATTGGAAAGGCACTGTTTGAATATCAGTCTACTTTTACATAGGTTAGGTTAGGTTAGGTCCAAAGTGAGTGAGTCTATTCGACCCTCCACAGCAACCAGCAAGGGTTTATTGTGGCTCACACCTATTCACACTCGACCAAATAAACCCAGCTTCTTAACGAAGCCGATTAGTTTCTTTGGTGAGTGGTCTTTCAGCGACACGCACTGTCTTCCGACAGTCCGAGTCTCTGCATATGATGATTCAAAAGACGGTGACCTGCAAGAAGGCCTGTTAGACATCGTAGTTCATCCCTAATGTAGTCCAACATTTGCTTGTTATAAGGGTGAATAAACGCCTTGGAGTGAGCCAATCCTGGAAGATTCTGCCAGAAGTCCATAAATCTTCTTGCCATCCAGGTGTTCAATCTTTGTTTGGCAAAGCCTAACGCGATGCCAATAACAGTTCTGGTCCGATGAAGCAGCTTGCAGCACCCTTCTTTGCAAGGGAGTCAGCAGCCCCATTGCCTTCCAGGCCAGTATGGCTAGGAATCCAGGCCAGTATGACCAGGATTCCATACCAGAGACAATCTGTTAAGTCTTCCTATCGAGGAGAGCCGTTTTTGGCAAGTTGCTACCAATTTAGACGTTGCTCGGTAGGAGCAAAGAGCTTCCAACGCCGCTTGACTGTCCGAGAATATTATTATTGACTTGTGTATGAGGTTGGATTCTTCCAATCTCTTCGCACACAATTCAGTAGCATAAATTTCTGCTTGAAATACAGTCGCCTAGGTTTCTTGGCAGGTTGATATCTAGGTCCTGCTTCTGCGGCTGAAAACACCTGCACCAGAACCGGAATGTGTTTGATCCATCCTTGAACCAATAACTATCTGCTCTTCTCCCGGAGGATCCAGTCCTCTCTACTCGGGAACAATACTTCGTAAGGAATTTCGTAGTTGACAGTTGGAGGCATAAAGCCAGAGGTCATTTCCAGAATGCTGTGACTTACAGTGACAACCAATAGTCTGTTGCATTCTGCATTAAATTGATTTGTGCAATTGGCAATGTGCACAAGTTTATATGCAGTCCATCTATTCTTTCTCTCCAGAAAAATGTGAAGAGGATGTAGATCTAGAAGGATCTCCATGGCCGCTGACAACGTTTCCATAGGACCATAGATTTATCTAGATAAATTAGCATTAGCTAATGCCAGATTTCGACCTGCATAGCACATTATTTTCATTGGTTGACTGAAATAATCCAACACTGGCCTTATTTTATATAGCCGATCTGTTATTTCCTGATGACTGTCCATATTTCCTTGGAAATGTAAGCATCTCATGAATAGTAAATATCGATCTCGACTCATATATTTTTCAAAACGAGTCGAATATAATCGCTGTGTTTTCCAGTAATGCTGCAAATTATTAAGTTTTGTTGTTCCAGTATGTATTGTCAGTCCCAAAAAAATACGAAATTCTGATACCGTCATATCCTTCCACACGGAAATTCTCGACCTTTCTTTGCCATTGGTAATAGACAGAACCTCCAAAGCATGCTCCTTTATTTCTTTTGCTGTCAGTTTCAAAAGTTGGTTATCAATCAACATTCTAAACCAATCAAACGGATGGTCGCCTGATAACTCAACCAGTAATTAATTTCTTTTCAGAAAGAAGATTTTTGTCACGTTGTCAATTGTTTCTTGCCACGATGTTTGCCCCGCAGCGCCACCCAAAACTACCCCATTCTCATCAAAACCATCTGTCATGAAATGCGGAGGAAAATTAAACTCAGAATCTACAAGCCTACTCGCATATCAAAATATTTAGATTTATGCATTTCTAATCTCCTGGAATAGTTCTGACATTTCTTTTACGTGGGCAGTTCAAATAATAAGGTGAATGTTCAAATTTGCATAAAATTTTGTGTAAAAATAATATTAAGTGCTGAAAACACTTGATATGTTGACGGTGACATACTGTGATTGTACTCTGGGTCAAAAAATGTTTACATGTAGAACAAGCTTTTCACAGAAAGTCGACACTCGTCCTGGACGCACCAGCACATCAACAAACGATGTAAATGTTGAGGAAGTGAGGAAAATTGTTATGGAGAGTCGTCGAATTACTACTAGAGAAGTTGCTGAGGATGTCGGCATGACGGCTGGCTATTGCCATGCAATTTTTTCAGCCTGTGACAGCGAAGTGCGTTCTTACTAGTAACGAATTCAATTCAATTCAATTCAATTCAATTCAATTCAATTCAATTCAATTCAATTCAATTCTTTATTTTCCAATCGACAATTTACATTGTATAGGAATAGTCCAAATATAGCAACATACAAACATGTGTAATCAAATAAAACTTATAGCAACATACAAACATTAAAGATATAAGTAAAAGTTAAAGCACCATACATCATGGCTATATGGTTATGGCATCGATTCCAAAGTCCAAGCTCTTGGAAGAGCCCAAGAGAGCAAATTCCAAAATGTATTGGCCTAAAATAACATTGTAATCATACTTCAGCCACCGTATTCAGCAGGTGGCTGCGTCTTTTTTCTGTTCCCAAGATTGAAGATACCCATGGAAGGATGACGTTTTGCAACGATTGAGGAGATTAAAATCGAATCGTTGAGAGAGCTCAAGGACATACCAAAATGTGCATGCCAGAACTGATTCGAGGATTGAAAAAAATGCTAGCACAAGTGTATTATATCTGAGTGGGACTACTTTGGAACGGACAAAATATAAATTGTCGAATAAATAATCATTTTTCGAGAAAAACGTAAATTCAGCTTATTTTTTGAACAGAGTAGTAGCTACAACTTCCCCTTCTTGAATTTGAAGCGGTGTCTTGGAGAGCAAAGGTTTAAAAACGATTAGGATTACCGCCTGTCTAGTGGATGTATGTGCGTTTTCCTCAAACTCAAACATCACATCTAATTTGACTTCTTCACTCATTGCATCGGCAGCTGCTTTTTTTATCAGCCCCACATGACCAAGCTCGTGAAACTGCTTCTCTATTATGAAATAGGCGTGCTACTTTCTGTTGTGTTCGGGTTTCTTCTTCGTCACCAATCATTTGTAAAACTGTTATTTTATGCATTTCCGTTAATCAACTATTTGTCAGACTTGGAGGTAACAAACTTAAATTCAAATACTGACAACTAATGTCGTAACTTACAAAACAAGTTGACAAGGCGTTTTAAACTAACTTTGCCACGGAAATTATTTACAGTTTTTTAAAGCAGCGTTTTTCAACGTGTGGTGTATGAAGAATATGTTATCAAAAAGCATATACTGGTAAAAATGTGTACATATAAATACAAACAAATTAACAAAAAATCAAGAAAATGTTAACAAAAATCATATACTGGTAAAAATTTGTACATATCGATACAAACAAATTAACAAAAAATCAAAGCCTACGTCTACTTCTCACTCCAAATGCGAAAGTTGCGCTTGTTTTCGATTAATCCATTTTTCCCATCGTGGTTCCGCGTTTGCTACATTGAGAATCAAGTAATTTTCTAAATTTAAGCGATTTCTTTGCTTGCTTTTTATTCGGGCTATTGATGAGAAAAAATTAACAAAAAATTAAAGCCTACGTCTACTTGTCATTCCTAATGTGAAGGTTGCGCTTGTTTTCCATTAATCAATTTTTCCCATCGTGGTTCCGCGTTTGCTACATTGAGAATTAAGTCATTTTCTAAATTTAAGCGATTTCTTTGCTTGCTTTTTATTTTGGCCATTGATGAGAAAATATCAACTCGCACAAATACGAGGTGGCAAATGGAATCAAACACCTCAAGGCCTCTGTTGTTAATTCCGGGTATTCTGTTTTTCCTTTTAACCAAAAGCTATCCAAATTGGCACACTTGAATTCTAAGTGTAACATCCCATCGGCAGATAACTCCAGCAGATTTTCTTTAAGATTAGTTGTTAAATTCGCTTCATTTATAGCTGCAGGTAGAAATGGATTCAAGATCCACCTTTGCTCAGTGTTTTCCGATATCTCTTGCACAGAAAAGTAATGACATTTCTAATTATCTAACACCGTTGTCATACCAGGATATACTCCTTGAGTTTATCTCACATCCGACTTCTTCAATATAAGACTGTGTCAATTTTCTTTTCAAAGCCATGTATTTAGTCTTTTGCAGTGATGACATCATCTCGCCCTTGAAGACTTTCATTCAAGATATTTAAATGGTCAAATACGTCAGAAAGAAAAGCTAATTTCAAAAGAAAATCCGGGTCACAAATAAATTCAGAGTTTTCCGACATGGTCTGCTGTAAATATATCAAAAGTTCAGATCGGAGTTCCATAACTCTGATGGTCAATACTACAACCACCTAACCTCTGTATGGTAAAGTAAATTTTGGTGGAGTGCCCCCATGTCTTCACAAATAATCCGTATCTGCAACGCTTTTCCTTCAATTGAATTTACAATTTTTATAATAATATTTAGAACTTGACTGTATTACTGTGGCAAGGTTTTGGCCGCAAGAGCTTGACGATGAAGAGAGCAATGCATCCAAGAAGCGTTTGGCATTTGTTCTTTCAATCTAGCAATAAAACCACTTTTTGCACCAGTCATAGCTTTTGCTCCATCACTACAAATAGCAATGCATTTTTCTTCCCAATTGATATTCATATCTTGCGTAGCTTCAAGGAACATGTTATGCAAGCACTGACCTGTAGTGTTTGAGGGAAGTGTTCTATAAAATAGTATTTCTTAAATTAAATTTTCATTGGATTCAAAACACACAAAAGCGGCAAACTGCGCACAACCCGCAATATCCGTAGATTCATCAAATTGCAAGGACACAAAAGTACTTTCTTTTATTTTTTCTTGACTTGGTCTCCAACGTCAGTCGCCATATCGCTTATCCTGCGTTGAATGGTATTGTCTGAGAGAGGTATACTTTTGAGCTTTTCTACTTCTTGTTTGCCAAACATAATTTCGGCTATATCTAAAGCCGCGGTACAATTAAACTTTCGGCAATTGTGTGGAGTTTTCCTGTTTTAGCCACACGAAAAGCTACTCGATAACTAGCAAGCAACGCTTTTCCATTTAGGCTTGGTATTTGCACTATAGAAGTTTTTTGATGTTGAAGAACTTTCAATTTTCTCTCAAATAATTCCACGGAATTATATTTTTAATTTGGATGTTTTGTCAGTCGGTAGCCAAGCGGTTCGGCGTGGGTTTTCTTATTATCAATACCTCAACATGAAATAAGTTTTGAGTATATTGCAATAAGTTTTGAGTGTATTTTATCGAATTTCGGTAACCACATGATTTCAACTTATTTTATCTTAATTGTTGCAATAAACTAAAAACAGATTTTTTTAAACAGATTACATTTGCTTTTTACTCACTGTATACCAATCTTTACTATTCTGTGAATTTGCACAAAACAAAACTCATTTCCTAATTTGTACCGACTCGTTGAGTTCCATACATAAGATCATGAAATAAGATAAGATAATTTATTTCACCACGTTTAAAAATCTGTTTTCAAATTCTGTTTTTCCGTTAATCAGCTGCCGCCCCCATACGAACGACAACTCTCAGAAGTTGAGAAACTTGTGCGAGCTAAGGACAAGGAGGTCTTACCTTTTAACGTGTGATTCCTAACACGGACGCACTACCACCGCGGCCAATTCCACAACGTTACATAATAAAATGTTTGTAGCAAGTTTGTAACAATCAAAATATTATAAAAACAAACGAGAAACACAAATACAAAAATATAAAAACAAAAATTGAGTATGTATGTTGACATTATAAA